ATCACTTCTGTCGCTGTTGGCCAGGATGACAAACGCTGCACTTACCTTCATTGCGTTGTGAGCCCATCGTGGCATTGAGCGCACACACCTGAGAATCTGAGCGTGCTAGCAGCCGGAAGCTTGTGTGGTGAGATTGCCAAGAACTTACCTTCATTGCGTTGTGAGCCCATCGTGGCATTGAGCGCGCACACCTGAGAATCTGAGCGTGCTAGCAGCCGAAGCTTGTGTGGTGAGATTGCCAAGAAGGAAACGGAGAAGATGGATCACTTCTGTCGCTGCTGGCAAGGAAGACAATCGCTGCACTTACCTTCATTGCGTTGTGAGCCCATCGTGGCATTGAGCGCACACACCTGAGAATCTGAGCGCCAAGAAGGAAACGGAGAAGATCGATCACTTCTGTCGCTTGTCGAGGAAGACAAACAACGCTGCATTGCGTTGTGAGCCCTTTGTGGCATTGAGCGCACAGAATCTGAGCGTGCTGGCAGCCGGAAGCTTGTTTGGTAACATTGCCAAGAAGGAAACGTGGGAGATCGTTTTCTTGTCGTTGTTGGCAAGCAAGAGAAAAGCTGCAGTTGTCGTCTTTGATGCGAGCGTGCGGCATTAAGTGACGAAAGCTAGCGTAGTAAGGCTTTGGTTTCTATCTCAGTGGGCCGGGACCACCGGCCGAGATGCAGGAGAATCGATCAGACCAAGCCATCCGCCCCACACCCCCCCTCTCACTCCCGCCCGCCACCCTTTCCCCCTCTCCCCCCTCTCCACCCTCGCCCCCTCTCCCCCCCCTTCGGCCACCGTCCCCCACGCTGCTGAGTCGTTCTGGTTGGATGTGCCGGAGGTGGTGATGCCACCTCTGTTTCTCCCACGTTGCTGATGCGGTTCCGGTTGCATGTGAGGATGCCTGGAGCCTGCCTCGCCAGCTTCGCTTCACCTGATTGCCCACCTCGTCAGCTCTGTTTGCCTTCCGTTGCTGGTGTGGTTGGATGTGATGCTTGGAGCCCGCCTGGCCAGCTCTAGTGGCGAGCTTTCGTTCCCCTGGCTCTGCCCCTCAAGTCCTGACACCTGACGATGTGAGCTTGCTGGCTGCTTGAAACTTGCATGTCAAATCCTGCCGCTGTTGGTAAGCTGGGCAGCAGCTGTACTTACTTTCGCATTGTGTGGCGAGTCCATTGTGGCATTTGAGCTTGGCGCCTGGCAGTTTCGTCAGTGCGCAGTAGTGAGGGTTTTCGTGCGCAAAAGAGTTTGACCCCATGTCCAGACCGAAGGACGATTATGGCAAGATCATACCGAGTTTACCAATTATGCCTGTGTCCCTTGTCCTCCTATGTTCTAGCTCTCGCTGCAGGACTTCATGGTCAGCGAGGCCAACACGCCTCAGGACTCGCAAGGAATAAAGTGCATTTCTTCTTCTTCTTGTTGTTGTTGTGGTTGTTGACCAAGAAGGCCATTGAGCCGTCCCTTGACGGACAGTCTTCGCGAAAATCGCTGCTGTTGTCTGTAGCCACTCTAGCTCGCAGTGATTCTGCTTGTCAATGGCTGCTGCCGATTTTTGATCAAAGCCGTTCCCTATCCTGTGAGAGTTCCGATACACTCGATCAAGATTGCGGGCACAAGCACGTCTGTCCAAACTAAGCACTTTTATCTGGAGCTACTTATTTTCAGGTCCTTGTTGGAGTAGGTCCAGGCCGGGAACTCTCGGACGGGCTGAGGGATTCAGGGCTTGTTCGTGCCCCGATTTTGCACCTCGATCATTGCCATGACTCAGAGTCTTGGAGGCAATTGAATTTGCTTTCAGGGATTGCTCTGCATGCAGTGGTGCAGGTTTCTTGTTTGCATGTCATGGTTTTACAACTGAGGACAGGCACCCTGAAGAAGTTCTTTCCCGAGAAGGGCATAGGTGACTTGGAACGAAAGGATGCACAGCAGCAGATCTTAAGCTCGGATTGGTTGGCTTCCTTGATTTGTTTGATGGTAGTGTCCTTGCTGACAGACGCCAAGGCAATGTATACATCAGACAGCAGACAATAACCTGCCAAGGTTACATATCTCCTGATGATGGAAGTGAAGATGTCTTCATTCATTTCCAGGCAGTCACCAACGGCGGCGTCTTGTCCCAAAAAGCAGCCCAGCAATCCACCCCGAAAGCTCTGTACACATGCCGTCCACGTGTTCACTGTCTCCGAGGTGAGGGCGACATGATCCCTGGGGCAAGGATGAGCTACGACCTGGAGATTAATGACCGGAATGGCAAGACGAAGGCATGAAGTCAAGTGGACTTTGGAAGGAAGAGCTGGTAGCCCGAGGAAATCGTTATGGGCTCTAGCATCGTTGTGTCAGGCAGTTCGAGTGTCGATCGACGCACCCGGCGACCCCAGCAAAGGAGGCGGTGGCAAAGGCCACGTAAGCAGCGCAACCGTCATGCTTCATTACACATAAGGACATAGTGTTAATCCCGGCCAGGTGGCTACGGGAAATCCTATGGAGGTTATGGCAAGGCTCCAACTGGAGGCGCGATGTGGAGCTTGTTCTACCATTCGGTGGCCAGCCCTGCTCATGTTCGATGCATCACTTCGCCCAGGAAAGGGTCACGGGGCCGGACCCTACGATGGGGGAAAGGGCGGCCGGATGCTTACGTCAGGCTTCTGTCGCGGTCCGTGCCCGTGCATGAGCCAGTCGGTACAAGGTGCCCCCAACATTGACATGAACGCGATCTGGGCCGCGTTGTATGCACAGGCGCGTGTCGTAGCCACGAGGGAATCTGTTGGTGGTTTGGCAATGGCACTTTGTTACGTATAGTAAAGTAGCATCCGACGAGGCCGCGGCACTTGGAGGACACATGCTGTGGGCACTGGGATTGTGTTTGTTACCGGTCTTGCGCCTACAAAATATCAAAATCAATCCTGAGTTGCTACGAAGGAATGGGAGGGGGAACAGAGCCTCTCGGCTTTTCTGTTGATCGACATCGGGTACATTCGCATGTGCATTGAATGATACGGGCGAGGTCAGGCATCTTTGGTGTACAGATGTGCACAGCGTATGCAGGATAAGGATGGCCTTGGCATGTTTGACACTCAAGTGTGCTTCGCCCAGGCAGACATATAATGCAGCTTCGACTCCTGGGCAGCAATGGTACTGAGCTTGAGGTTTTGGGAAGATTGCAATGACCACTGCCGGAATCAGCGAAGTCGTTCTTGCCAGTGCGGAGAAGCCAGTGCAAAGAAGCCTAGAACGGCCGGCATGTATATAGTGCTGCTGCACTGAATGGACCTTCAGATTGCTGCGAGAAGTGGAGCGTGCAAAATGGCATAGTGGCATGTGCAGCACTGCGCACGATCCGAGACAGCTGAGTGGTGTGAGGGTTCGTTGCAGCATCGGGGTTCAGGACATTCGGGTTCCCTTGTCGGCTATGTGGCCGACCTGGCGTGGGCGTGTCGTCGGAGGCCGCATGCTGAGGCTAAGGCTTAGTAAGGTTGCAGGAGCTGTGCTGTTGCAACTCCCATCGCTGTGTCGTGCCGCGGGTGCACTCCCATAGCATTGGCTCGAAGGGGGGGCTTCAACGGTTCGGTGTTTCCTGGCCTTCTCGCGTAATGGCCATGGTGGACTTTTGTCCGCCAAAGGCCATGGAGGCCTTCCATGGCGTTCACTTTTGAGTGCGCTGTAACCAGTGTAACCCACACCCAGTAATGTTGATGTCATTGCCTAATACAGCAGAGTGAGGTGAAGTGGGTTCCTGCTCGCAGCTCTGGGGGGCCAATGCCAGTTGAGTAGAGAAGCAATGTGCCGACCCATGCTTGCCCTAGCTAGCTTCCCTTCAAGGTTCTGGATACCTAGCACTATATATAGAACTATATCATCGGTGGGAGCCAGGCAGCCGGAGCTCTTCAATAACAGCACGGTCTAGAGGCTGCTCTGAGGGCTCTCTCATGACAATGTGCCCAACGATGCTGACGATGGCCACAGCGTTCCGAATGCTACCCTAGCTGTGTCTGATACTTTGGAGGCTGATACTGCATCGTAAGGGTTGGTGTCGCAGTGGCACTGGAGATGTCCAAACTTGCCCGCAACTTAACTGGCAACGTCCGGTTAGATCCGCCGGATGGCGTTAACTCGTTGCAATCGCGGAAACTCAGCCATGATGCAGAAGAGTCGCATCAGCAAGTGGCGAGGTTCCCAGTGCAGTCCCTGGCGAGTTTCACTGTGCTGCATCTGGTGAGGCAGGGCTTTAGGACCATCCGGCCCAGTCCGTGGCACATGCTATGCTCATGAAAAGCTACTCGGCCACTCGTAGATCGAATTCGTGCGTGTTTGGAGACCTTCAGCACCGCCGCAGAGCTTCGCGCGCACTACAAGTCCGAGCGATATGTGCACCTCGGCCCACATTCGGCCGTTTGGGCGATATGAGCACCTCTAAACTAAAGTGACTAAAGTTCTCTCGCGGGAGCCTGAGGTACAACATGAAGCGAAAGCTGAATGGTTTGAAGCCCATTTCGCAAGACTCTGGGCTGCAGGTGGCACTGTCGTTTTAGTCTCGGCACCCCTGAGCAGGAATCATGGCAAGGATAGGTCGATGAAAAGGGGTTTCCACAGTTCCACAGTTCGCTGCTTTTTTGCTTGCCCAGCTTGTCTGCCGGGGAGGCGGGCTCAGAGAACATCCTTTACTTCTCCGCGGTTCCTAGCTCCTGAAGACGTCCTCAAGCGACTCCAAAAGGCTGTCAAGTACTTGGAGGTTCATGGGTAGTTATAAGTTGGGTTACATGTCCCCAAAACCCTACTTATAACCCCATTTATAGCTACCCATGAACCCTAAACCCTAAACCCTAAACCCTTATAGCAACCCTTATAGTAACCCCATGTATAACTGAAAATTACCACTGTGGCAGCCTGTTTCCTTCTTATATGAGCTGCTTATGCAGAGGGGGTCTCGGTCAGCCTGATTCC